GGCCTGCCTACTGGAAGTCAGAATGATCTTCCTGACAGGCACAGGTCTTTTAGCTCGCTGTCGGCGAGAATAAAGCTGCATTCAAGGAACGGCTACTACGCAAAGAGCCTTCATCTTACATGCAATAGAAGAAACACGCAAGATGGCGGCGAACGCTGATTTCTGGAGTTTCTGAAGTTTAATTAGGTGTTGGAGTCGAATTTCCACACGGCAAACAAAGTATTCTGACAGACCATCCGCCGGCTCCGAGGTGAAAAGAAAGGCAGTCTCAGAGTCTTGAAGGACAGGTCTGGACACCCTCTTACCAAGGATGATTACGTTCTTCGGCGATGGAGGGAGTACTCTGAGGAACTCTATAACCCCGCGCAACAGCAGGAAGACTCGCCTGTAGAGCAGAAGGGACCGGCTATTACTATTTCTGTAGATGAAATCAAACAAGCGGTGAAAAGCTTGAAAAGTGGAAGGGCTGCTAGAATCGATGAAATCCGCCCTGAAATGCTCAGAGCACTGGGAAAACAAGGCATGTGCTGGCCTACATATACCTATCAAACTGTAAGGCTATGGGGAAGACACCAGCAGACTGGAGAACGGGAATTGTAATACCCGCCTGTTCAAGAAGGGCGACCAAAGAGAAGGCTGGAAAATACAAACCCTCACTCCTAGCAAGGACAAAAAACAATGTGAGAAAGCTTCATGGATCATGCAACGCAGCAGAGAAACGGGATCTCGCCAGTGGTTAGATGCGCGGCCATCGCTAAAGAAAGAAACTGGCTGAGCAGACGAATCGAATTAGCGGACAAAGGACATTAGCTCTGCATGGATTGAACAAAGTTTATCTCCCCCGTGACTCAGAGACCACTTTACCAGCAGTACGGGTTAAAAGCACCTACATCAGTGGCAGACCACAGAACTAACTACAGGAACCAACGCCAAGAAGACTCGTGAGAGTCAAGCCGAAACTTCGGTACCAGTCAACCACCCAACTGACCGACTTACTCGTTTGTGTTTTGTATAAATAAACCATTTTATTGCATTTTTCAGTATGTACACCAACGCACGAACAAATCATTCTATCTTCACAAGATATGCTTCCTCAATAGTAAATTACCTGAAAAGCATGTAACATCGACCGCTGTTACCATCTCTCGGTAAACGACAGTTGCAAGTTCTTTAGCGGGCATTCGCTTCGACTGATGCAGTTATGAAAGATACACGTAGACGTACTTTGCTGTGGCTTGAGAAATATTGATCTCTGTGTGCCTTTCAGACCCACAGTGCACCCTATGTTCAGGTTAGAGTGATGCGTTATATTTTATTCAAAAGATAGAACGGCTAAGGTTATGAAACGACAATGTTAAACAGCTTCGAGATGATCAAGGAGATGAGGACAACTTCGAGATGATATAGGGGCAACGCATGGTAAGTGTTTCATAGTAAATTAAGCGATTTCACTCGCTGATCAACGTTCAATTTGTTGTTGTGCAGGAATATCAGTATATGAAAATACGATAGGAATGGTTGGGCTGGTTGCTGAGAAGGATTCTCCGGTGACTGCGCACCATGAGTCATTGTTAGCGCCAAATGGAACTGAATTTTTCGGTGACTGATGCGAATGAAAGCACGGCCATAAGCTTGGAGATGGCAGGACACTGATCATCCACGATCAAGTGAGGAAATTACATGCATAGAGAGATGCGCCTTGGCGTAAGAGTTGCTTTTCGCATATCCTTATGTAACATTAATATTATGAAAGTCCGATTCAATCCACCCCGTCAGGTTAATTAATCACACCCTATTGTTTACGTATTTACAGTACATAAATGCAACACTACATCAATGCGGTTTGAAGGTTATTTCTGTTAGTTTCATCGGTAGGATGAACACACAAGTTAGATTTCAATGTGTAGTTATGAATACAAAGTAATGCGGTACAGTACACATCGCAGTAGAAAATCTTTGACATTCCACTTTCCTGAAAAAATTATGAAGAGATTATCGAACATTTTTTTCTTTTTTTCTTCATAAATCATCTCACCCAAACCTAAATGCTATTAAAGTGTCTGAATACAAATACAAAATAGGTCCGTGTTAAGTAGTAAGCAAAACGAGACTGAGGAAGGCGCACGCATGCACTACATATCGCTACATATGGCTTTGTGCGGAAGACCACGGTTAAGTGGCGTGAGAGTAACTAGGCTCCTGAAGTGAAATTTTTATAACTCTAAATTTTTCCATAGCCCATTCCGGATAATATTTGTAAGTCTGAATTTACATAAATCAAGATCCATCTGCATTTAGAATTAAAGGAAGGAATTGTGATGATTATTCGTTCCCCATTCTGTCCAGTAAACATTGCATCCAACCTCTTCAGCTTTGTTTTTCATTGTTTGTCGATTAGATTTTAAGGTTTTTTGACAGTGATTAGGGTATCGTTTTATTGCCGGAGCTTAGGAAAGCTTTTCCGCTTTTTTAAGGCAAATTATTTTATTTGTGGCAGTGGTGGCGAATCTGCATGTTTTTCCAGCAGTGCTGATCACAATCCAATGATGTTGACTGGACGTCAAGAAGCAAATATGCCTGGTGCTCCACATAACTGAGCTCTCTAGCTCCCCCCTCCCTCTGCTCCTTGGTTGCCTATACTATTTGGATCAAGTCATGCTTGCTTTGCTGTGAGTTCATTCTATGAGTCTCAACTCCAGCAACATAGTCACTTTTCCAAATCCATACAGCCTTAAAGCGTCGATCTGAAGCAAAATATGGTTCGTACCTAGCAAATTAATTATGTATAAACTGCGCCACCATATCTCACAGCATATTGCATTGCTTTCTAGCTCGATTCTCAGATGGATTATGTAAGCTAGCTACGGTTCTATGGTATTTGAGTACCTGCAGTAGTAGATGTATATATCATAACATAGTTCACTATGACAACCTCAAGGACATCGTGATCGGTGTTTCAGGCAGGTATTCGTTATATCTCACCTGAACGTCAAAACAAGGTTTCGTATGCCGAGTATGTTCACCGCGTTATGACGCTTCAAAGGATAAATTTCAGATTTACTTTGGTCTTGAAGGAGTTATGTGCCAATTAGCACAGTAAATTAACATAGAACCTGGCGAATAAGCAGTCACGGAAACTGTAAAAGCAGTGACTCGAAGGATATGTGATTTAAGCTGCTGGAGGTTTCAGACTACAAACTGGTAGTCGCAAAGAGCGATGAAGCTAAAAATCTGCAAGGCATCATCCCTGGATCAAATTCCAGGCGCACAAATTCGACAATAGACTACATTAACAAAAGCAATTTTTGCCTTCTACGATGCCAACGGAAGATGAGCTGAAAATCTGGTTCACTTGAGACACAGTCGGTGGAAATTAAGAATTACAAACTGAGCTGCACTGGTCAATCAGTGGAGTCGATCGGACGTCCAAGAACGTGCTGGGACTATCCGATGGTCAAATTACATGGTCAGCAATGGAGGCAGAAAGCAGAAAATAGAGAATGTTGGAGGAGCGCCCGCTCTCTTTCATGGCGCACGTATAATGAGGACGAATCGGATAACGGAAGGGTGCAAAGACAACATGCTGCATTTGTAGCGCTGTGATACGCCGTCATTAAATCAGCACCCTGTCTAATTTTTTCAAACAATAGTTGGTTAAAATCTGAATGGGAATTGTCATCACACAACTTTCAGTGGTACTGTTCCTAGTTAGTTGCCAGGCAAAGAGTTTTGGACGCCCTACTAAGTGTGTAGTTATATGTTCGAACTTAAAATTCCAGAATGTTCACAAAAAATTTAGGCTTAGAAATAAAACAATCTGATTCGGTTGTGGGTTACGCGATTTTCATTCAATAATTTTTGTTTTGTTCATTGTTTTGATTAAAATATGAGTTGAAGCTTTGTTTCAGTTTTCCTATTGCATATGTTTTTAATCTGCACCGATGCTGTTTTTATTTATACTTACGAACAGGAATTATTGATGATACTGTGTTTAAGTCGTAAGCTTTCGCTTTCACAAGCATTTGAATTGCCGAATTTGGTGTCCCTACATCACTTGTAATATGACTGAATGTCTCATATGGTTTCAATTTTACTCAAGGTAACGTCAGAATACTGTAGAAGACACGGTTAGGAAAATGCTCAATTCAAATATCTGTAATCAGCCAGTGACTACTTTTGTGAACGAATCCAGTGTTAGCCAAATGACTGCTTTAGACTACTATACCGACATAACAAATTTGTCGAACTACTCAATGCAGTGATTCTTTTTACCAATAACCTCATTATTAAACTCAAAAAACTAGTTGGACGCCGACAGCAGCTACAGAGTAACCTGTGCTGATTGCCACACTGGGAAGTCAGCTACAAGGTGGGCCTAAACAACAACTGTCATATGAAGCGCTTAAATCATGGAGAATGGCCATGCCTCCATTCCATTTTTGTTTGCCACACTAGAGCACCGCGCAATCCTTATTGTTCGCAAGTCAGAGGCTTAATACCTTTTTCTCGGCTGGTTTTACCGATTGTCCGAGGAATTAATGGTTAAGAGAAATTTTTCCTTCAGGATTCGAACTTCAGAGTTCAAAGCCCACCTCCGCTGCACCCACCAAACTCTTAACGCATCGATTATGAAGCTTCTTTCTGCACATAATCGACGTTGAATAAAATGATTTTAAGCATATTTCATTACTTAACCTCTGTACCTCCTGTCTCACTGACTTTAGAGGTGTTTGATAAATTAAGTTCAGAATCGTCCATGTCTTTGCATACGCAAGTTGCAATTATAAAGTACTTCATGATTCCTTGACTTCCTTCAGCCTCATGCTGCTTCATTGTCTAAGTTTTGAAATGGTTGGCTAGTCTGACAGACGGACAGAAAGGTGTTCAACAACTAAGAAGTTATTATGGCTCAAATGAATAAAAAATGACGTCATTTTTCAACAAATATCTAACTGAATATGAGTTTAAATATCAAACACTTATCTTGCTTTGGAAGCTTGTCAGTGAGAACTTGGCTTGATCCTGAAGAAAACACGACTGTAACGCTGTGCTCCACTGCATCTCATTTACTTCCTAGCAGCGTTGTCTGAGTCAGAGAGGGGCAAAGTAATTTTTGTCAAATATGTCCATGCGAAATGCATCCATTAATTACAGGTGTTGAAATTCCATGGAGACGTGGTATATCTGAATGGCTCTCTAAACAGCCAGCACGGAAAATACAATGCCATAACACCGAAAAGCCTGATCCGACATTAAAAATCGTTCATAAATTCTCTTGACGAAACAAAAGCAAAATGGCTCAATATTACCAAATATCAACTAAAGATTAGCTGTCACTTTAATGGTTGTAGGCACATGGTTCAAAGGCCTGCGGACGGTAAGCTTTACTAAAACTGCCGAAGTCTCAGCCTATCTACAGTCCGCTCCTGATTACAGCATTAGAGATGTGGCCGCGATATGAAATGCCCAACCTTTTTTTCCGTACCTCTCTCGGTGACAGATGGCTGGCACACGTTCGTTTTCGACAGTAATCGCAGTACGGTAGGACGGTAGAATTGAAATGGTCGGCGAGAATTTCTATCCTGATTTTGCCGACGATTATCTCGTTGATGGAATCGCAAGTCAATCAGCCCTCGCTCTTCTTTCGAACCTCTTCAAATCAGCCTCAGGTTGATTTTGTGGCCCAGGAAAAATGGATTTATCTACACTCTAGCAACATTCCTGGTGTTTTCCGGGAGCAACACCGCGTCATCAATAATCGTTAAGTTGTTCAATTGTTCACCATTGATGTTCCGCCCATCCAGTTCATTTTCTGGAACACTATTTCCAAAGTGGCAACGAAGCACTTTTTGAAATGCTGGCTCTTGTCTCGCGATCATCGCTACCGGAATCTAAAGGGAGCATCGAACAACGAGATGTTTGTGAAGCGGTCGGAGTGAACTTCCTTCATCAATTTCA